TTCAAACTCGCTTCTGCTTGATATTGAATAGTAAAAGTCTCACTTCCATAAGTTGTTGATACTAAATACCTCATAAAAGCTCATGTAAAAATAGGCCTCATTAAAGCTATGAGAAATATTCGTCTGTCTTCGCCTGGTCGAGCTCTGGAACCAGCAATGCACAGCAATCGACTTTTCTGACCTACTATTTAAAGCTTTGACGTCAACATCAATTTCTTGAATTTTTCGTTTGAGTTACATTAACCGAGCTTAAAATGCTCATTTTATAACGCCGATTCTCTCAAGTGTCAATCAATGCAAATGATATGATAATGAGCTTAAACAAATGATTGGAAGAATTTCCATTAAGTTCGACTCATGTGATATTCGACGCATGAAACAAGTCTTAATTTGATAATGGCCGCTTAGGCCGAAAGCTCGGTATTAAAAATATCACTAGTATCACTAGTAAACGCAGAGGACTCATTTATTTTTAGAAGTCTTAATTTGTACGAATTTGAAAACATTTAGCACTGATAAAGATCTAATAAAGAATACCGAAGCGTCTGAATAGATTCATTGTATATTTAAGCTGAAAGGCAGAGAATTCAATCTCCTTGAAAATTTGATGTTTACAAGTGAGTTATGATGTTTAATTAAGTACAGCGTGGCCAAAACCAGAGGAAACTCGTCGAGACTGAATCGGAAGTCGGTAGCACAAAAACATGTGTTCTTTGTAAAGAAGGCTTCTTTGAAAAGCTTTGCGCCAAGATAGAAGTGAAAATAAAGAAAAGAAAATGAGCGCGCAATTTGTTGGTTTTGAATCAAATATAATAATAAGATACAAAATTAATCAGATAACCAATTTATACTTCTTGAACTTCCATAGCTTTCAAGTCATATTATGGAGGAATGTGTGGAGGCCACTGAAATCTGCCCTTACTCTAACATTGGGTGTTCCTTTCAGGTAATGTTTCAACAACAACAACAACAACAACAACAACAACAACAACAACAACAACAACAATATTAAAAACAATCATCATCATCTGTAATAACGTTAACAACAGCAACAACTACAACCATGCCATCAAAATAAGCACAACAGCAGCAAAACAGCAATATCAAAATCATAATCATCTATAATAACGTTGACCTTAGCAACAACAAAGTCACACGAGCACCAACAACAACAACAACAACGATAACAACAACCATCACCACCGCCACAACAACAACACTAACAAGAAAAATAGCCATGTCAGTATAACCTGACAATAACAACATGATTTAATTTTTGAAGCTATTGCCAAACAACGCATAATTTCTTCAAGAAACTCAAGATGGCGGCTAAACCGGCTAATTGTTAACAAGGTCTATATATTTGTAACATGCCATATTAAAAGCGATTTTGAATTATTAATTGTTAGGGATCCAAAGTAAACCTCGCGAATCACTTGGAAAAAATGCTCGCTGATCATCTTCACTTGGCGTGCGAAGTCGTCGATGATCAGAAGATTGAGCTGGAGAGGCAAGCTGATAGGTTACGGCTGCAAGACCAGGCAATCGTCCAGCTCAACGATACAGTGGTCAAAATTAAACAACTCTTTGACCAGCAGGTTAAACTCCGTGAAAACCAAGATAAAGCAATCGAAAAACTCAACGAACAGCTAAAAGAACACAAGAAGAATTCAAGCAA